TCGTTAGCTTTCAAGTAGAAACTAAACCAATGTTAGAAATCAACTCCATAATCAACGGACCTTTGTTAACAAAATATATGTAGATACATTGTTCCTTTGATTGAAAAGACACCAAAAGCTGGAGGTCAGTAAGGAAATGAGCTGTAATTTAAAATGTTCGTTACATGCAGAAAGTTGTGTTTATTGCCTTCAATTGGTCTTTGGGTGCAGAACAAGAACATGTTTGGCTATCCAAAATCGATTCTACACACACACATATGGCTATCATTTATTGTGATTTGATATGCTAGTTGAATTTTAAGAGAAAAAACTTGAATGGAAGGTTTATGAAAAAGAGAAAATAAAATAAAATTTAATTACAACACAAAAATACTTGTCATCATTATAATGGGAATTAGTTGTTCCAATGGTCACACAATTTATGTCCATGTCTATGATTGGTCATTAAAATTTAAAATATTGAATTTTGATTACTGAATTTAGATCCATGTCTTCGTCTCTTTGATTATTCATAAACGTTTAAAATGTCGAGTTTTGGTCACTAAACTTTGAAAAAATATTGTACGTTACTCACTAGTATAAATGTTGTACTTTGAAAAATGTCGAGTTTACAAAGAGAAATGTACAACATGTGCATATATGACTATCATATCAAAGCTTTTCTCATCTAATTAGAGTTCAGAAAAAATTAAAAAATAATATAAAATCATGTCCCTAGGTCAAAAGATCAATGTTAGAATTTTATACTAAAAATAACATAGAACAAAGAACTTAGGGTATATTAAAAAATTGGTACACAACTAACTAAGCCACAGTGTCTACTTTTTCAAACAAATGTAAAAAGTACATAGAAAACTCTTCTTTTCCAAATGGCCAATCAAGTCTCAATTCTACTATGTAATTAAAAGTGAAGCACTTGGGTAGAAAGAATGACGAAAAAAATTGATATGCTCGACTACTTTGATTAAATGCAACAATTATTGAATCTGTCATAAGTTTTTCCCCATACTTAAATATGTTAAATTCAACATAATAAACATATCTATGTTAATCAGGAAATATGCATAAGCCAGGGAAATAATGATTATGATTAGACACCAATATAGGTCAAAATATTCCATTCCCAGTTGATTCTAATTTCAGCAAGTGAAATCCAACATCAAAAGTACAACTAATATATTGCACTGTTGAATTACAGAAAAATTCAAAATCGATCTCAGGAATTTGAATGAAAAGAATTTAAAGTTTAAGAGTTTATTCAACAGTATTTAAGCCAGTTTATCATGACAATCTATATAATTCACAAGTTCATCATTCTTTAAGAAATAAAATCAAAATCCGAAATGATGACTTCAAGGATGAACATGTTAAGATTTGCCAAGATTACAGCGACTCAACTTTCGAAATAATCATTGTTGTATATTTAGGAATCTGTATTCTCTTTATTTAAGAGAATTGATTGAGATCTTATTTGTTTCCTTTGGTGATTATTATCGTAATTCACCATTGTAAGATGTATATATTTTGCAGTTTATTGATTGTAATGAATGAGGAATAAAATACAAGCTTCCACAAGCCTTTAATCTGATATGGTATCAAAGCATTGATCCATTACTGCTGAAAATTTTCGCCCTTTCTGATCATGTCTATCCCAACAACTGATCCCAGAGATCCATTATTCCTTCACCCTTATGATCATCTCGGCATGATCCTCATTCCAAAGTATTGGATGGAACAAATTATGCCATGTGGAAAAGATCCATGCTGAGAAGTCTCAGCGCCAAGAACAAGTTAGGATTCATCAATGGAATTGTACCCATCCCAGATGAAAAAGATCCAAAATATCCTCTATGGCAACACTACAATGATATGTTGTATTGGATATTCAACTCTCTAAGTCCGGAGCTAACAAGCAGTGTGCTATATGCTGAAATGCCTTCAGAAGTCTGGACTTCAAGAGCGATTCTCTCAAGGTGATTTTTCTTATCATTATTGTTGGGAAAACACCTCCCAAAGATAGCCCAAAAGATCAAACAAGTTGACAATGTGAAAATTTCCAATCCACTTGAAGAACAAGAAAATGAGGAAGAAATGATTTCCAATGGAATATATGAAGATCAATGTGTTTGGATTACTTGAACAAGCCTCAAGTTAATTCCCAAGAAAGAAAATAACTTAGAATGTGTACCCAAGATGAACAACCTTCAACTTGTAAAATTCTCACCAAGTTTTCTCTCTAATTTTCTCTCTAGGTCTTGTATTATGAAAGAGGGAAAAATGGCAATATATATATACACGCCGGGTGTGGCGCCTAGGCGCCAACATTCTGCCTTGGCTCCACAGTCGGGGCGCCCGGCAGAACCAGCCCCTTCTCCTCCCTTTCTTCCCAGCTTCTCTTCTTCTCACAATTATCAAATTCAAAGATCCATTGTTGAACTGAACAAGACCAAAAATTAATTTCCTCTTATTACACAAAGATGAAAATGTTGTGGGATGAACTTGCCACTTGCAGTCCCTCAATTAATTGTACCTATGGAGCACAAAAAGATTTAAAAGGCGAAGAAGAGAGAATTCGACTTGGACAATTCCTTATGGGATTAAATGAAACATACTTTGCTATTCGGGGACAAATCATGCTCATGCAACCTTTACCAACTGTAAAAAAAAAAAAAAAAAAAAAAAAAAAAAAGCATACTCTCTCCTATGTGAAGAAGAAAAGCAGCGAGGTCTCGTTGAAACAAAGAGCAGCGATCTTATTCATGCCATGAATATCAATACTTATGATAATTCTAAGGAAAAACAATCTGCTTCTTCATGCCAACAGAAACAATGGTCAGCCTCTCATTCAAGGTCACAAAGGGATCGAAAATCACAATTGTTCTCTTACTATAAAGGCACTATCCATATTATGGACCGTTGCTATTATCTGAATGGTTTTCCACCTAGTCATAAACTTCATGGAAAAAAAAGTTTAGCCGTTGGATCAGAGCAGAAGACTTGCTACACAACAAGCAAGCTCTCAGATCAGTTACGAACCCTACAAGGCTTCCATTAATGTTGCTCCTCAATTTACTAGTGAAAAACTCACTCAAATCAAAGCCCTTCTCAATGGTAAAAACTCTTCTCAAGCAAATTATGCAGGTATCCTTTTTCCTTTCTGCTCCTCCTTTATCATACAAAAGACAACTTTGAACGCTGGATTATGGATAGTGGTGACACTAATCACATAGCCACATTTCTCTCTATTACCTCTTCCTTCTCTTATTAAGTGACCTTGCCTAATGGCGCTCACTCTAAAATAATTGGCATTGGTTTTACACAGCTTTCAGATCACATACATGTTAAAAACATCCTCTGTGCTCCTTCCTTCAATGTCAATTTGTTGTCTGTTAGTCAACTCACAGCTACCATGAATTGTTCAATCCACTTCTATCATACTTTTTGTCTATTGCAAGACCTAACCTTGGAGAAGATGATTGGTTTGGGGAAGCAAGTTAATGGCTTGTACTATTTTGTGCCTCCAGTAACATCTACATTGTCCTCCAAACACTTACCACGTGGACTCTACCACTGAAATTCCATGGCACCGACTGTTAGGAAATCCATCAAGGAGACGTTTACACTTTTTAAGTCATGTTGTTCCATCTATTGTATTTGATCCTAAGTATTCTTGCGAAACTTGCCATTCATTATTTTTAAACTTTCGTTGATGATTATACCCACTACACTTGGATATTTTTAATGAAGTTCAAATCTGAAACGTAAGGGTTGCTAAAAACCTTTATCTCTTTTTTTAACGCTCAGTTAATTGCCAAATTAAATGCATTCGAAGTGCTAATGGCTCAAAATTCACATCGATGAAGTCATATTTTTCTAGTTTTGGTATTTTATTCCAAAGTTTTTGTCCATCTACACCTCAAGAAAATGGTGTGGTTGAACGAAAACATCGGCAACTTTTAAACATTGGCAAGGCCTTAAGACTTCATGCTAATCTTTCCTTACAATTTTGGGGAGAGAATTTACTTATTGCTACATACCTGATTAATTGTCTTCCCACTCCAGTGTTTCACTACAAATCTCCATATGAAATGTTGTATAACAAACCACCAAATTATTCTAATTTAAGAGTTTTTGATTGTCTTTGTTATGCAACAAATTTGTACCCATCGCATAAATTTGATTCTCATGCAAGAAAATGCACCTTTGTTGGTTACCCATAGAACAAAAAGCCTACCATTAATATGACCTCAACAATTACCAATTTTTTTTCCAGCCATGATGTCATTTTTCATGAGGAAGTTTTTGCTTTCCATGATTCCAAAATCTCAACAAAAAATACTATCTCACAACCTGAGTTAACTGAATACCACATCGATTCACCTCCTCTTCCCAATGGAACAAAATCGCCATTACTTAAGATCACTCCTATTTCTCATTCTCCTTTCCCCAATGACATCTGCAACAGCTCCTCTTCATAGAAGTGAATGCACCAGAAAAGCATCCATTCGCCTTCAAGATTTTCACTGTGGACATGCTAGTACATCACCACTAACTACATCTCTAATCTAGGATTCTTCAACTAAGTTAGGTACTCAGTATCCTTTAAGTAACTACATTTCCTATGATTCATTGTCATCTCAACATAAACATTTCGTTAACACTATTTTCAGCATTCTAGAACCTACTTCTTATACATAGGCAGCCACAGATCCTAAATGGCAAGAGGCCATGCGGCTTGAACTTGATGCATTTAATGCTCAAAAGACTTGCTCTTTGGTTCCATTACCCTCTAGTCATCGTCCCATTGGTTAGATATGGGTATATCATATCAAGTACAATTCTAATGGTACGATCGAACGTTACAAAGCTCGATTAGTTGCTAAAGGATTTTCTCAGCAAGAAGCCTAGATTATACTGAAACATTTGCTCCTGTTACCAAGTTGACAACAATTCAACGTGTTCTTGCTGTTGTTGCAGCCAAATAATGGCCATTGCATCAAATGGATGCAACAAATGCCTTTCTTCATGGTGATTTAGAAGAAGAGGTATACATGACTCCATCATCGAGTCTTTGTCAACACGGGGAGAGACTTGTATATAGACTACATAAGTCCCTCTATGGACTTAAACAAGACCATTGAAACTGGTTTGCGAAATTCTCTCAAGCTATCACGACTGGCTTTATTCAATCACATTCAGATTATTCCTTATTTGTGAAGACTAAAGGTGCATCCACAACTATGGTGCTTATCTATGTAGATGGCATAGTGATAACGGGCAATGATAATGCTGCTATACAAAGTTTGAAACATTTTCCACACAAACAATCTTATATCAAGGATCTAGGCCCTCTAAAATTCTTTCTTGGGTTGGAAGTTACAAGATCCAAAGCAGGTATTGTTATCTCTCAAAGAAAATACACTTCAGAGATTATAAATTATGTTGGTTACTTAGGTGCTTAGCCTTCAAATTTCCCAATGGAAGTGAACCTGAAGCTCAAGAATGATCGAGGTGGCTTTCTACATAATCCGGAGCGCCATAGGAGATTAGTTGGATAGCTAATCTATCTTACAATCACAAGACCAGATACTACACACTCAATTAACATTCTAAGTCAATTTATGCATGCGCCAAGAAAGCCTCATTGGGATGCCGTTCTTCACATCATTAAAAATCTTAAAGGTAGTCTAGGTCTGGGCCTATTGTTTTCATCAAGAAATTCTTTCAACTTGAAGGCTTATTGCGATGCAAATTGGGCAAACTGTCTTATGACTAGAAGATCAACTACAGGTTATTATGCATTCTTGGGAAATTCACTGATCTCATGGAAAAGCAAAGAAATAGAAAACAGTCTCAAGATCATCAACAGAAGCTGAATACAGCTCCATGGCAGCCCCAACTTGTGAACTAACTTAGCTCCCATTTTTGCTAAATGACATGCACATTTCAATAGGACTAGCAAAGCTACTCTGTGATAATCAAGCTGCACTTTGTTGAGTAGTAAACTTGATTTTTGGACTAAATAATATGGGCTTAAGGATTTTGCTTATAGGCCCAAATCAATTAAAAGGCCCAACATGCATAGCATTTCTAGAAGCATTATCTAGAAAAATCTATATAAATATCTACTAGAAAAATCTATATAAATATCTAAGTAAGATATGTAGTTTTATAAAGAATATCTAGAGAATTCTAGGAAAATATCTTGATATGTGGTCTAGGTATCTCTAGAAAATGTGTGGACTAGAATCTTCTTGTAAACACTATATAAAGGGGTAGTGCCCTCCATTTTATAACAAGCTAAAAAGTTTGTAAAGTCTTGAATTTGAGAAATACAACTTTCCTTTTTTCACTTCCTTCTTCCTATTAGTGTTGTCCTCTTAAAAGCCTTAGCTAATCCAAGTTAGTAAACTCATCTTCCATCCAACAAACTGGTATGTTATGTTCCCATAGAGCAAGAGTTTCTATCCGATCGCAAGATTCATCAGCATCTATTGATGCAACAATTATAGGAAAACCCCAGAGAAGTTCTTACAATGCTCCGCACTCACACTGATGAAAGAAAAGCTTTGGTATCCACATCAAACATATATTTATAAATCCATTTACATTACTATATCTAACATCCTCTTTAACAGGACAAAACAAACTTTCTAGAATCAATCAGCACCTCAACAGATGATGGTTTTTTACTTATTTTCTCACTAATGATTTTCCTAATGTTTTCTACAATATTATGTAAGGGCAAACTAAATTACTGTAATTTTGAGTTACATCTTTTGTTTAGATTGACGTTTAATTCCAAAGCTATGCTATGAAATTTCTTGTTTGTCATTTTTTTTAGATCTGCTCATTTTTTTAATATCATTTTTCTTTTTCTTTTTAACTCCTTTTTTGTTCATGAAGTTTTGCATTCTTCTTTTTCATGATTCATCTCTATACTTTTGTATGTTGTCATACTTTCCATTAACATGAGAAATACTACATTACAAGAATAGACTTCGGTATTTTTTCCTTTTTTCTACACTTAAAGTAAGTTTTCTTTTTCGGTTTTACTTTTTGGCTGCAGAATTGTTCGAACTTGCTTCTTATGTACTTAAAATCATTTTCGTTTCTCCAACGAACCATCAAATCTGCAGAACCTTCATTTTCGCATTTTGTTAAATGGATTTTTTAGCATTTATCTATTTTTATAAGTTTATTTTGATTTCTTCCAGCTTAAATTTCGTGTAATAAATTAACACAATTCATGATGTATTATATTTTCACATTATAGACAAAGTTTAAGTTCATATGTGACTTCATGAGTTTAAGAAGGTCATGGCTCAAGAATTTGAGATGACGGATATCGGCCATATGGCCTACTATCTTGGGATAGAGGTAAAGCAAATGGAGGACTGCATTTTCATCTCACAAGAAGGATATGCGAAAGAAATTCTAAAGAAATTCAATATGGAGGACTGTAAGCCCGTATGCACCCCTGTCGAATGCGGAATCAAGTTGTCGAAGAATGATGAAGGTGAAAAAGTAAATCCAACACTTTTTAAGAGTCTTGTTGGAAGTCTAAGATATTTGACGTGCACAAGACCCGATATCCTTTTTAGAGTTGGGCTCATCAGTCACTATATGGAGACACCTACTATGACCCATATGAAAACTGCAAAGAGAATTCTTCGCTACATCAAAGGTACGCTTGATTATGGCTTAGTCTATTCATCATCTAATGAGTTCAAACTTGTTGGATATAGTGACAGCGATTGGGGCGGAGATAGTGATGATAGAAAGAGTACGACTGGGTACGTGTTTTACTTGGGCGACACAGCTTTCACTTGGAGCTCAAAGAAACAATCGATCGTAGCACTATCTACATGTGAAGCTGAATATGTTGAAGCTACATCAAGTGTCTGCCATGCGATTTGGCTTAGAAACTTGTTGAAGACGCTTGGAGTATCACAAGAAGAGCCAATCGAAATCCATGTTGATAACAAATCGGCATTGGCATTGGCAAAGAACCCAGTATTCCATGATAGAAGCAAGCACATTGATACAAGATATCACTTCATAAGAGAAAGCATTGCAAAGAAAGAAGTGCAGCTAAAATATGTGACCTCCCAGGAACAGATCGCCGGCATTCTCACTAAGCCACTCAAGCATGATGTGTTCCGCAAGTTAAGAACTCTACTTGGAGTAGCAAAATCAAGTTTAAGGGGGGATGTTGAGTAGTAAACTTGATTTTTGGACTAAATAATATGGGCTTAAGGATTTTGCTTATAGGCCCAAATCAATTAAAAGGCCCAACATGCATAGCATTTCTAGAAGCATTATCTAGAAAAATCTATATAAATATCTACTAGAAAAATCTATATAAATATCGAAGTAAGATATGTAGTTTTATAAAGAATATCTAGAGAATTCTAGGAAAATATCTTGATATGTGGTCTAGGTATCTTTAGAAAATGTGTGGACTAGAATCTTCTTGTAAACACTACATAAAGGAGTAGTGCCCTCCATTTTGTAACAAGCCAAAAAGTGTGTAAAGTCTTGAATTTGAGAAATACAACTTTCCTTTTTTCACTTCCTTCTTCCTATTAGTGTTGTCCTCTTAAAAGCCTTAGCTAATCCAAGTTAGTAAACCCATCTTCCATCCAACACACTTCACATAGCAGCAAATCCAGTATATCATGAGCGCACCAAGCATATAGAACCCGACTATCATGTTGTAAGAGAAAAGATACAAGATGGTCAAATTATCACATAATTTGTTCCATCATACTTGCAGTTGGTGGATGTTTTTACGAAAGTCCTTGGAGGAAATGCATTTAAGGAACTAAGAAGCAAGTTGAACATGTTGGATATACATGTTCCAACTTGAGGGGGAGTGTTAAGATTGGCCAAGATTACAACAACTTAACTTTAGAAATAATCCTTGCTGTATATTTACAAATCTATAATCCCTTTATATAAAGGATTTGATTGAGATTTTATTTGCTTTCCTTTGGCGATTATTATCGTAATTCACCATTGTAAGATGTATATGTTTTATAGTTTATTGATTGTAATGAATGAGGAATAAAATACAAGCTTCCACAAGCCTTTAATGTGATAGAACCAACACTTAATTTAAAATTAAATATTTTTGAATGAGGCGGGATAACATACTACTAATGATATTGATCTATCATTCTTCCAGTGTAATTTGGCCTCTTGAACCTACAAACTAGTCGTCAATACATAATTGAAAGATGTCACTGCATCCCAACGTTGTTTGATTATTTAACCAAAGTATATTGTACATAATTTGTGTTGACTTGGGATTGGCACAGTGTCTTGTGACTTGTTGTACAAAATGTTGAATTCCTCAGACAAAATAGTCATATATTTGAATTCGCTAGAGATTATCTAAGAGTCACTATTCACTTTAACGATTTGGAAGTTGGAACTATTACAAGAGTGCGGAGAAATGTGCACAATGATCATTAGGCTGCCGACTGGATTGTTGGTTGAAATTTTGATCAAATAGTTGGTTTGTAGTTGACAACATTTACATCTTTACAAAAATGTGTTTTATGAATTGCGATTTTCTTAATGAGCTTGATGTATAAGATGATGCCAAGTGTCAACCCTAACAACAGTTGGATGGCTGACATTCTGGTGATTTCTTATTTGACCGTTCATTTGCCTAAGGTCTTGAATATTTGAATCCATTTTTCATTTTTTTGATTGACTCTTGAAGTTCTCTCGTCTTTTTCTTTTTTTCTGGAAAGAAAATTTTTGTAACCGTTCTCAATTGAATGTACATCTTGAGTGATCAGTAGAATAATGTGTTCTTGAGTGAACAAATGTATAGATCAAGGGACTTATGTGATGTAATCTTGAGTGATTCATTTAAAGTGCTCTAAAAGTGTAACTTTGGACTGTTTCTTTGGTTCCATTTTAATCCAACGGTTTCTTTCGATTTGTTCTGAACCTTTTGTCTTAGGGTGAAAAATCTTTTATATTTTTCAATTTTTAATTTTCTTGCAGGTTTTAATTTATGTATTCGTAGGTAAAGTTGGCTAATTGATTGAAACTAATCTTAACAGTGGTATCAGAGCAGTTAGACGGTGGTTCTTGGTCCCGATTACGATAGATCTAAAAGTTTGATACTTGTTCAATAGTGTTTCTGCTATTTCCTGAAACCCTAATAAAGGGATCTGGAGAGAGCATTCTTATTTTAAGATTTACAGTACAAAAGACGTGCTTATACTTGAATCCCTTTGCAAACATGTTTAAAATGCTAGATCTGAGACATTCTTGGCAATTTCTTTGTCTAGAAACCCTCAAGTTGTCTGGAATCTTATGGTTGTCCTGATCAAAGATCTAGACTTAAATCCTCTACATGTGTTCTTGATTATTGTGTATAACATACAGTGACTTGTACTTGTTCTTTGAATTCTTATTTTAAGATTTACAGTACAAAAGACGTGCTTATACTTGAATCCCTTTGCAAACATGTTTAAAATGCTAGATCTGAGAGATTCTTGGCAATTTCTTTGTCTAGAAACCCTCAAGTTGTCTGGAATCTTATGGTTGTCCTGATCAAAGATCTAGACTTAAATCCTCTACATGTGTTCTTGATTATTGTGTATAACATACAGTGACTTGTACTTGTTCTTTGTGATATATACTCTTTACTGACCGAACTCTTTTTTGGAATAAATTGCCGTGACATTAATGTACCATTGTTTATACAAGTTGTATATAATCTTGTAGTATCAATGATTTGAATTGGATATCTTTAATGGTAAGGGAAATTTTAGCCTCCGGAGGCAGAAAATGAGAACAATTTTACTTCAACAAAAATGTGCGAAGGCTATTGATGAGACATGGCTAGATG